AGCCTTTTACGCTAGTACACACACACACACACACACACACACACACACACACACACACACCCTTTACCCCCAGTACCCAACTCTATAGCCAGGGGTCTGGACAGCACTTTGCAACTTGATGTGAGGAAGCAGATATTCCTATTCCAACATACAGTAAACCTGTTAGGATGCTTGCGTTGCTGACACTAATCAATCCTCTTCATCCCCACGGCCCCCAGAGCACTGCCAGGAATAATATCTGAGCCCAGAGCCAGAGAAAGCCCTCAGGGTATCTCCTGGAATGCAGAGCTCCCCATTCCCCACGCCAAAAATAGCCCCAAAAGGAAATTACCATTGGCAAACCCTGGCCACCTGCAGATCCACCGTCCGGGCCTGACTCACGAGGGCAGCCAATGAAAAAGTTGGACGGCAACAGGGTCTCAAGCCTTAAGGGGGGGCTGCGGCTGGGCGCCTCAAAGTGAATCAGAAGATTCTGCAGCAGTGAAACTTGGGCAACGTCCCAACATGATTCAGCTGGAGGGTCTGGACGGCCAAGCCCCCACCCCCGGCCGGTCCTGCATCCCAAGGCCCGCAACCCCCGCGCTCAGCCCCGCACCCACCCGCGGCTGCCCAAACGCGGAGCTGAAGGTGACGGTGGCCACAGCACTCCCCCCCCAGGATCATGCACTCACACCGGCGAACCCCGCATCCCACTACAGCCCCCCCACTAACCTCCAAAAGCTCTGCGCCCCCCAAAATGCCCCATCATACCTCAGTAACCGCCTGGATATTGGCGAACAAACGAAAAACAAGCGCGAGAGGCCCCTTGAGCTGGCGTGGTCCCACGGCTCAGTGTGGAGACGGGGAGGCGCAGGAAGCTCACGGGAGGCCACCCCCGATCTGCAACATGACAAAATCGGCCTTCAGAGTCCCACTTCCTCAATGGGGCCCTACTTTGTCCTTCACCCACCAGAACAAGGACTCTCTGACCCCGTTCCAGGAAGAGAAGCACCAGGAAGGGCCCTCTGTGATGTCACTTCCGGTCCTGCAAGCAGCCTTAAAGGGACAAACACCAGATGTGCAGAGAACCATTATCCTGTGATGTCACTTCCAGTGCACAAGCAGCCTTAAAGGGCCAGACTCAAGATGTGCAGAGAACCAATATCCCCACCAAGGTGAATCAGTGGCGGGAGGGGGGGGTGGATTTGCATAAAGGAGTGAAGAGGCAGCTGCTGGAGTAGCTGGTCAGTGCAGGAGCTCCAGTAACAAGAAGTCCACTGGGGGGCTGGAGAGATAGCAGAGCGGGTAGGCCAACCCGGATTCGATTCCCAGCATCCCATATGGTCCTCTGAGCACCGCCAGGAGTTACTCCTCAGTGCAGAGCCAGGAGTAACCCCTGTGCATCACCAGGTGTGACCCAAAAAACCAAAAAAAAAAAAAAAAAAAGAAAAAGAATAAGTCCCCTGATGCTTTACTGGCCACTCAAGTGTGGAGTCAATGTTCTCACACATAAGGCCCCATCAGGAAAACTGCAACAGAGTAGATCCGGGTAAAACAGGCAGGTAGGGAGTGGGTGGGGCACAGACAGGGAGTTTCTAAGTAACAAATCAAGATGGGGGTGAAAGCAGTGACTGGGAAGCCAGCCCTGGAGAGGAACTGGAACAACCCAGAGAGCAGCCACCTGAGAGGTGGACAGAAACTGGAAAGGAAAGAAAGGCTGATAAGGACATCTAAGAGCACTTTACGCGTTAATGCTCTACCCCTGACAACATACGAGTAATGGAAAGTCACTGGCAAGGAACGTTCGATGGGGAGGCTTCAGAAATACATTTTCAAACCCAGAGTATGGACCAGGAGTGACGAGTACAGTGGGTTAGCACTTGCTCTTAACTTGGTCAACTTGAGTTCCATCCCTGGCATCCCAAATGGTTGCCTGAGCACCACCAGAAGTGTCAGGTGTGGTTCCAAAATCAAAGATATTATTGAAAGAGCATAAGGACCCATCCTAGAATGGAGATATATACTGAGCTTACAATTAGCAAACTTTCCTGGTCAAAAGGCCCTACTTAGCCTTTTCGACAACCTAAATGATTTATAGCATCCTAGTGACTACAAGATATTGGGATTTTTACGACTTCCAAAAGCAGAAAGTTTCATGCTTTTTTCCCCTCGAATATTAGTGAAGTGAAAAGTGCTCTTCTTTTCTTTCCTTTTTTTTTTTTTTTGCTTTTTGCATCACACGTGGCGATGTACAGGGGTTACACCTGGCTCATGCAGTCAGGAATTAGCCCTCGGGTGCTCAGGGAACCATATGGGATGCTGGGAATCAAACCCGGGTAGGCCGCGTGCAAGACAAGTGCCCTATCTGCTGTGCGATTGCTCCAGCCCCTCTATTTTCCTTTGAAAAATATTTTTTTCATGGCTAATACCTGGCTCTGCACTCAGGGAATCCTATTTGATGCTGGCTTCAATCCTGGTCAGCAGCATACAAAGCAAATGTCCTCTTGGTGTACTAGCCTCCTGCCCTGTGGTGGCTCCGGGGGACGATTCTTTACTTGCTTGGGGCTCAATAGTATTTGGTGGAGATTTTTGACTTTCACATGCTCCCCACTCCTTAATAGGTACTGGAGGTCCCACAGGAGGATGTAAGAGAATGCAGAGCCTGGTGGCGCATGAGGTCTGTATTGGGTCTCGGGGAATCTCACAACCAAGTGTGCAATCTTAGCAGAATGTAACCTAAGCATTTCAGTGCGTGCCCTGAGCCCCCCATAGCGCAATATATGGTCACCTTTGGCTCCCTCGCCTTTACCAATTCATTTCAGTTTTTTCATTTTTAGTTGTTGTTTTTTTTTTTAAAGGAAGAATAACAACAGAGTCAAGAAAGCAAATCACAGGGTCATTCCATGACAGACTCCCCAGAGGCCAGGGAATTGAGCTATGTGTGCAGGTGAGTGTCAGGGAAATTCACTGGCTCGGGCCCTGGGCAGTGTGTGGGTGCCCTGAGCACATGTGAAATGTGCTGCTGACCCCTGGGGCCTTGGGCGCCTGAATACAGGCATCTGTGCCCTGCTCTCTCTGCCTTTCACTACCTTGGACAGTCCATCATGGAATGACCCTGTGATTTGCTTTCTTGACTCTGGTGTTATTCTTCCTCATCTGTCAGGCCTCAGAGCTCCTCCTTCCAGCCAGGAGACGACCGTAGGCTTCACCCTGGAATGCCCTGCTCCCAGAGACAGAGACATGGATTGGTGACAAGGAAAAGGTGACAAGAGAACCCAATGAGTCCCAGATATAGTGCGTGCATCAAATTACTGAAAGGTCATGAACAGAATATCCAAGCACAGCCTGTGTAACTGAACTGGCAAGGCACCCCAGATCAAGGACAAAAAAAAAAATCGGAAACACATGACTTGTGTCTGAATCATGGTAGCTGCCAGTGTGTGTCGAGGGCTACCACACCCTGGTGATCCTGATGCCTGTCAGGGGTGAATCTGCACCACAGAGCCAAGAGGATATCCTAGGCACTACACTAGGGCACAACAATATGAAAGAAAACAAAGCAGCAGGATGGGCTAACAGGACAGCGGGTGCAGGGACAGTGGGTAGGGCTGGTGAAATGAGAGCAGAAATTGGAAAGTTACGCACAGAAATGTCACGAATTAAAGATCCCGTAGATGAAATAAAAAACTCAATCTGTGCCCTCAACAGTAGAATGACCACAGCTGAAGACAGAATCAGTGAGCTGGAGGAACAGCTGCACCAAGCTAACTGGCAACTGAAAGAAAGCCCCATGACAATTGGGCCCTAGCAAAGCAAGTCCCAGCCCACATCCCGCCCTGCAGCTGCGGCAGGCTGACAACACCAGGTACCCCCATCTCCTCCTTGCCCCTGGAATACGCCAGAGAAGGCCTAGTGAGACATCTCCCTGCCCTGGAATCTGCCTAGCAAGGCCACAAGGTCAGAGAAGGCCTAATGAGTTATTTTCTTACCCTGGAATTCACCTAATGGGGCCATGAGGCCAGAAAAGGCTTAATTGACTGCCCGCCGGGAAGGCCTGGTGACAGGTACAGAAGAGAGTGGCTGGTACTGACGGCTTGTTGCAAAATGATTGGCTGCCTGCGTGCAGTTTTTAATGTAAAGGCCCTCCCGTTGATCGTCGATTTGCTCGAGCGGGCCCAGTAACGTCTCCATTGGAGACTTTGTTGTTACTGTGTCTGGCATATCGAATACTCTCGGTAGCTTGCCGGGCTCTCCGAGAGGGGCGGAGGAATCGAACTCGGGTCGGCCATGTTGGCCGCTTGTAAGGCGAACGCCCTACCACTGTGCTATCGCTCCAGCCCCTCTGGATGCTTTGTGTGCGAGCTTTTTTCTGAAATGCGCGGGAAGATGCCCCATAAAAAGCCCCCTTTGAAGGGGCCTGGGGCTCTCAGCTGCTGACGGTTTGCTGTCATGCTGTGAGCCCGATCATGCTCGAATAAACCTCTTGCTTTTGCATGGACTTGGTCTCTCGGAGTTTTCCTTGACAGGTGAGGCTGTCCTGAGCTCGGACCCTAACATCTGGGGGTTCGCCCGGGATTGGGAGCAAAGGGACCCCTGCCCACCTGATCAGAACCTCCCTGACAGACCTTCCGAGGTAAGTAAGGCGCCTATACGCAGCGATCGCTAAGTTGGTATGCCGGCTGGTCAGGGAACTCTCGCAGTGGCTGTCAGGTCGGGTCCGAGAGGACCTCCTGACTGTGGAGAACAGACGTGTTCCGAAACCACAGGTCACGACCCTGGAGGACGCTCCAGTGGTGGTAGAGCCCCAGGGACGACCGGAAGGCTCCGTTTGGGGGAAGCCTCCTTCCAGGCAGAGAGCGAGACAGTGAAGTTTTTACCGGTACCCCTTCCAACAGCTGGAAGACTTCTCCCCTTGACGTGTCTGTGGACGACCCTCCTGGGTCGCTGTGTGATTTTGTCTTCTTTTTTCTCTTTTTTCTCTTTGTCTTTATCTCTTCCTCTCTGAAGTCTCCCCACTGGCCATGGGGCAGACGCTCTCAACTCCTCTTTCCCTTACTCTGGACCACTGGTCGGAGGTCCGCAAGCGAGGATCTAACCTCTCTTATTTCGTTCAGAAAAGAAAGTGGCGGACCTTCTGTTCCGCCAAATGGCCGACCTTCGGAGTCAAGTGGCCAGCGGATGGAGCCTTCGACCTGGACTTGGTCCGGGCAGTACAGGACGTTATTTTCAGACCTGACCCACTCAGCCACCCTGACCAACAACCCCATATTCTTCTTTGGATAGACCTTTGTGAGAACCCCCCTCCCTGGGTAAAGCCATTTCTTTCCAAACAGAAGCCGAAAGAAGAATCCAAGGTCCTCATGGTCCAGGGAGAAACGACTTCGCCGCCCGCTAACCCCAGACCGCAGGTGCCGTCAGCCCCAATCCTCCCCGAGTCGCAGGGGGACCTTATTCTTTTGGATTCCACCCCTCCCCCTTATCCAGAAGTGCCACACATATACCCAGACCTTCCCCTTGCAGCAGGGGGAGACGGTCCTCCCCCATGAGACCCAGCTTCTCTGGGCTCTGGCTCCTCTCCTGGCTCCTCTCCCCGCAGGCAGGAGGGGCGGGGCACAATGCGTTAGGGAGGGAGCTGGAGCCCCCTATTACGGCTGCCAAGGGCGGGAGAGGGCAAGCCTGAACTCTCCCAGCCTGGTTGGGAATACCCGAGCCCCTGGCCCAAGGCACCCGTGCACGGCGATGGAGGAGCCTGAACTGTCTGAGTCTCATCCCCGAGAGACAGTTGCCCTCCCCCTGCGTCCGCACGGTCCCATGACAGACGATGGGCATGGGGGGCGGTTGCAAACTTTACAATATTGGCCCTTTTCTACCTCGGATCTTTATAACTGGTGGAATAACAATCCCACTCTTTCCGAGGACCCCACCAGGTTGGCTGGGCTGGTTGAGTCTATTTGCCACTCCCACCAGCCTACCTGGGACGACTGTCAGCAACTTCTGGACACTCTCTTCACCACCGAGGAGCGGGACCGGATTCTCCTGGAAGCCCGCAAGAATGTTCCAGGAGATGATGGGAGACCGTCCGCACTCCCTAACGTCATCGAGGATCAGTTCCCGCTGCGTCGCCCCAATTGGGACCCCAACACCTTACAAGGTAGGGAGCATCTGTCCAATTATCGCCAGATTCTGTTGGCGGGTCTCTGGACTGCCTCCAGGCGCCCCACTAATTTGGCCAAGGTAAGGGAAGTGATTCAGGGTCCTGATGAATCCCCCACTAGGTTCTTGGAAAGGCTAATGGAAGCCTTCCGGAGATACACACCCTTTGACCCTGAGTCAGAACAGCATAAGGCGTCGGTAGCTATAGCTTTTATTGGACAGTCCACTGCAGACATTCGGAGAAAACTACAAAGACTAGACGAGATCCAGGATCTGACCTTACGGGACCTAGTTAAGGAAGCTGATAAGGTGTATCACAAGAGGGAAACCCCAGAATAGAGGGAAGAGAGAAAGGAGAAAGAGAGGGAAGAAAGGGAACGCAAGAGAGTCGAGAAAGGAGAAAAGAGAAAGGCGGAGGGACCAGGAAGTGACAAAGATACTAGCCGCTATGCTGCAGCAGCCAAGCAGGGTAGAAACTAGAGGGCCTCCCAAGGGGTCCAGTCGACCCCCAGGTCAGGAATTCAAGACCCCACGCCCGCGACTGCGGTCAGACCAATGTGCTTACTGCAAAGAGTTTGGGCATTGGGCCCGCGAGTGCCCCCAGAAAAGAAAAAGAGAAAAGCCTGTAAACTTGCTGGCCCTTGAAGACTAGGGTCGTCGGAGCTCGGACCCCCTCCGCAGGCTCAGTGTAAAGTTTGAAGTGGAGGGGACCCCCATTGACTTTGAAGTAGACACGAGGGCAATGCACTCGGTGCTGCAAAAACCTCTAGGGAAACTGTCAACAAAGAGATCTCTAGTTCATGGGGCAAACGGCAGCAGCTACCGACCCTGGACCACCAAACGGACCATGAATTTGGGAAAAGGAGAGATCCAGCATTCATTCTTGGTCATACCAAATTGTCCTGCTCCCTTACTGGGAAGAGACTTGCTAACCAAATTAAGGGCCAGTATCGCCTTTGACCCAACGGGCTCCAAGGTAACATTCCGGAATCCATTAGTTGGATCCGTGGAACTGGACGATACCCCGGTTACTACCATACTGACTCTGAGGGCAGATGAAGAATACCGACTGTATCAGGCCGCGACCTCACACGAGCCCCCGTTGGAGGAAGCGGACGACTGGTTAAGACAGTTTTCTGAGGCCTGGGCGGAGACAGCGGGGCTTGGACTAGCCACCCAGCAACCTCCGGTGGTGGTGACCCTCAGGGCCACTGCCACCCCAGTGCAGGTTCGGCAAAACCCAATGAGCAAAGAAGCTAGGGAAGGGATCAAGCCCCACATTCGAAACTTATACCAGCAGGGGGTGCTAGTGCCCTGTCAATCAACTTGGAACACACCTCTGCTCCCTGTTAAGAAGCCCGGAACAGGAGATTACCGCCCAGTACAAGACCTCAGGGAGGTAAATAGCAGAGTAGAAGATATCCACCCCACTGTGATGAACCCTCATAATCTCCTCAGCTCTTTGGGGCCGAACAAAACTTGGTACACTGTCTTGGACTTAAAAGATGCCTTTTTTAGTTTGCCTTTGCATCCCTCCAGCCAACCTCTCTTCGCTTTCGAATGGGCTGACCCCGAAATGGGGATTTCAGGTCAACTCACCTGGACGCGACTACCACAGGGGTTCAAGAACTCCCCCATTTTTGATGAGGCACTCCATAAGGACCTGAATGCCTTCTGCCGGGGAAACCCAGAAGTAACCCTGTTACAGTACGTAGATGATCTGTTGCTGGCGGCCGAATCTGAGGAGGCCTGTGAGTGTGGGACACGGACTCTGCTCGCCGAGCTGACTAGATTCGGATACCAAGCCTCTTTTCGAAAAGCTCAGCTATGCAAGAGAGAGGTAACGTTCCTGGGCTATAAGATCCGGGGAGGGCACCGCTGGCTTACAGAGGCCCGGAAAAAGATGGTAACCCAGATCCCCACCCCCAGTTCCCGCCGTCAGCTAAGGGAATTTCTAGGGACGGCAGGATTTTGCCAACTGTGGATCCCCGGGTTTGCCTCCCTAGCCGCGCCTCTGTACCATCTTACCAAAAATGACATCCCCTTTGAGTGGGGACTCGAGCAACAGAGGGCATTTGATGACATCAAGAAGGCTTTGCTCAGTTCACCAGCATTAGCCCTCCCTGACGTAGAAAAGCACTTTACCCTCTATTTGGATGAGAAAGAGGGGATAGCCAAGGGTGTATTGACTCAAACTTTGGGACCATGGAAAAGGCCGGTGGCCTATTTGTCAAAAAGGTTGGATCCTGTCGCTAGTGGACGGCCCCGGTGCCTGAAGGCAATGGCAGCTGCGTTTCTCTTGGTAAAAGACGCAGACAAGCTGACGCTAGGGCAGAAAGTGACGCTGATAGCTCCACACACATTGGAGAGTGTAGTTCGCCAACCCCCCCGACAGGTGGCTCACAAACGCCCATATCACATATTATCAAAGCATCCTGTTGGACAAAGACCGGGTGATTTTTGGCTCCCCTTCCATCCTGAACCCCGCCACTCTACTACCCGATGAACAGCGGGAACCGGTCTTACACACTTGCCAAGACATCCTAGCCGAAGAGATGGGAGTCAGGCGAGATCTAAAGGACCAGCCCCTGCAGAACCCAGACGTTACCTGGTACACAGACGGGAGCAGCTTTCTCCAGGATGGAAAGAGGAGGGCGGGGTCAGCCGTGGTGAGTAATGAAGCTACCATAAAGGTAAAGGTAAAGGTAAAGGTCCTCCCGTTGATCGTCGATTTGCTCCAGTGGGCCCAGTAACGTCTCCATTGGAGACTTTGTTGTTACTGTGTCTGGCATATCGAATACTCTCGGTAGCTTGCTGAGCTCTCCGAGAGGGGCGGAGGAATTGAACTCGGGTCGGCCATGTTGGCCGCTTATAAGGCGAACGCCCTACCCGCTGTGCTATCGCTACCATATGGACTGAAAAATTGCCTGAAGGAACCTCGGCTCAGAAGGCCGAGCTCATTGCCCTGGCCGAAGCATTCGAACTGGCAGAAGGTAAGAGAGCTACAATTTATACTGACAGTCGGTATGCCTTTGCCACTGCCCACATACATGGGGCCATTTACCAGCAGCGGGGCCTTTTGACATCGGCCGGGAAAGAGATCAAAAACAAGCCCGAGATTTTACGGCTCCTGGCAGCAGTCCTCCTCCCTGCTGAAATAGCCATCGTCTACTGCCCGGGTCATCAGCGGGGATCAGACACGGTGGCCACTGGGAACCACAAGACAGACGAGCAAGCCCCTTGGGCAGCAGCCTCCTCCCTGACTGCGTCAATCCAGGTGGCTGAGGAAGGGTCAGAATTGAGGGATGATGGGCAAGAGGCGGAGGCTCCACAGAAAAGCAGTGACAGGTATGAGGGGGACGATCACCAGCAGGCCTTGACTTACTTACAGACTCTTCACAAACTTACCCACTTGGGGCCCCGAAAAATGGCTGAAATACTGAAAACCCAGACCTTTGGCCTGATTGTTGAGGAGGGACAGCAATTGGCCAAGGCCATAGTAGCGGACTGTAAGGCTTGTCAAAAGGTTAATGCCTAACCAGCAGGTAGGATAGTTAGTGCAGGGGCAAGACTCAGGGGGGACTGACCGGGGCAGTATTGGGAGATCGACTTCACAGAAATAGTTCCGGCTAGATATGGACTCAGGTATCTACTTGTGATGGTGGACACGTTCTCAGAATGGCCCGAGGCCTACCTGACAAAGGGAGAAACTGCACAAGTAGTAGTGAAGAAGATTATGGAAGAAATCTTCCCCAGGTTCAGTCTTCCCCATACTATAGGGTCTGACAATGGGCCGGCCTTTGTGGCCCAAGTAAGTCAGGGACTGGCTAAGGCACTGGGGATAAATTGGAAATTGCATTGTGCATACAGACCCCAGAGTTCAGGACACGTAGAAAGGATGAACAGAACCATAAAGGAGACCTTAACTAAACTAGCTGTAGAAACCGGCTGGAAAGATTGGACCATGATCCTACCTTATGCCCTATTCCGAGCCCGAAACACCCCTTCCCTGACTTTGCTAAACCTGACCCCCTATGAGATCCTACATGGAACTCCCCCTCCTGTGAGGGACTTGAATTTATTTGATGGCATGACCCCTTTGTCTACCCCTCTAATTGCCAGGCTGAAAGCAATCGAAACAGTCCAACACTCGGTCTGGAAGCAGTTGGCTGCCGCATATCAGCCTGACGACCTGCAGGTGCCACATCGGTACCAGGTTGGGGACACGGTCTATGTCCGCCGACACCAAGTCCGGACTCTGAAACCTCGGTGGAAGGGACCCTACCTGGTGATCCTGACCACCCCGACTGCCATGAAGGTCGATGGCATCGCCGCATGGATCCATGCCTCTCACCTCAAACCTGCCCCTCCAACCAAATCTGCTTGGAAGCTGGAGAAGACTGAGAATCCCCTCAAACTGCGTATTCGCCGTGTGGGCAGGGCTGTGGACTCTTCCCTCCATAACCTGTAATCCCCACGCTCCCCAGCACCTGACTTGGGAGGTGATATCCCCTACCGGACAAGTGGCCTGGTCCGTTAAGGGAACTTATACTCCGGGGACATGGTGGCCCACTTTGCGCCCAGATATGTGTCAACCTGTCTTGGGACTAGACACCTGGGATGTGTGGGAGGAGGAAGTCATACCAGACAGAGGTGACTCCAGAGCAAATGCTGGCCATGCAGGAGTAGGAGGAACCATCGGGTGTTTGACTAGGGAGAGAAGGTGTCACCTCGGGCTGCAACAATTCTATATCTGTCCAAAAGATGGTAGAGACCGCCAAGGGAAAAGAACTTGTGGAGGGCCAGAGGCCCTGTATTGTAAGGCCTGGGGTTGCGAGACCACAGGGCAAGCTTACTGGAACCCTACCTCCTCATGGGACTGGATTAGGGCCACTTGGGGCTGGAGCGGTGCAAGGAACTTGAGGGGCTGTAATCAGGGCGGCCCCTATGTTAATACCCTCAGCATCACCTTCACTACCCAGGGCAAAAGGCAGGAAAACCTTCTCCAGTGGCTTAAAGGGAGAACTTAGGGACTAAGGATCTATGTCCCTGACTTTTCCCATCCTGATCCTGGATTCTGGTTTACCATTCGGTTGAGACAGGAGGCTGTGGACCACAGGGCAATTGGCCCAAATAGAATTCTCCCAGACCAAGGTCTGGTCCCAAGCAGACCCCTCTTGCCCCCACAACGACCCCCCACTACTCCCATGAGTACTTCCCCATCTAGCAGTTCAACCACTACGTCACGGGTAACCGGTGCCCCACTGACCCCAACCGGAACCCCACCAACCCCATCTACACCTCCATCTAAGACTGGGCAGCGGCTGTATAACCTGATCGAGGGGAGTTATAAGGCTTTAAACACCTCCAACCCAAACCTAACTGTCTCCTGTTCGTTATGCTTGAGTGCAGCGCCACCATACTATGAGGGGCTGGCAGTAGACGGATCACTCCAAGAAACGAATGATCCCACCCGCCTGTGATTGGAGTACCACCCACAAGCTTACACTGGTCCAGGTCTCGGGAGAGGGAACTTGCCTAGGAAAGGTGGCGGAGGGTGATTCCAGGTGCGCTCAGGTCATAACCCCCACATCTTTAGCCCAGTACATATTACCAGCAAACGGTACTCGCTGGGCCTGCAACACTGGTCTGACCCCGTGTGTCTCCACCCAGATATTTAATAGCAGCCGGGACTTCTGCTTAATGGTACAAATATTTCCCAGACTGACTTACTACCCTGGGGAGGAATTCGAAGAAGCACAGCTGAGAAAGACGCGGTTCCAGAGGGAGCCTGTTAGCCTCACCCTAGCAGTTTTGTTGGGATTGGGAGTAGCCGCAGGGATAGGTACTGGAACAGCTTCGCTAATCCAGGCCCCTAGACAGCTGGAGCAACTGCACATAGCTATTAATCAGGACCTAAAGGCGATCGAAGGCTCCATATCGGCCTTGGAAAAAAGCATAACATCCTTGTCAGAAGTGGTCCTCCAAAATAGGCGAGGGCTGGACTTGTTATTCCTGAAGGAAGGTGGGTTATGTGCTGCCCTAAGGGAGGAGTGTTGTATCTATGCCGACCACATTGGGGTGGCCAGGGACTCTATGGCCAAGTTAAGAGAAAGAATACAGGTCCGGGAGAAACATTTGTTAGATCAGCAGGGTTGGTTCGAAGGATGGTTCCACAAGTCCCCATGGCTGACCACTTTACTCTCAGCCCTAGCAGGACCTCTCATTCTGCTCCTCCTAATAATGACAATCGGCCCTTGCCTTTTTAGTCGACTGCTTGCAATTATACAAAACCGACTGGGGGAGGTCAAGCTATTAGTGATGAGGCAGCAATACCAGGCATTACAGAATGAAGGTCTCTAGGATTAGAAGACCTACTAGAAGAAAAGGGGGGAATGAAAGGTAACCCCATGACAATTGGGCCCTAGCAAAGCAAGTCCCAGCCCATATCCTGCCCTGCAGCTCCGGCAGGCTAGCAACACCAAGTACCCCCATCTCCTCCTTGGCCACGGAATTCTCCAGATAAGGCCACAGGGCCGGAGAAGGCCTAATGAGACATCTCCCTGCCCTGGAATCTGCCTACCAAGGCCACAAGGTCAGAGAAGGCCTAATGAGTTATTTTCTTACCCTGGAATTCACCTAATGGGGCCATAAGGCCAGAAAAGGCCTAATTGACTGCCCATCGGGAAGGCCTGGTGACAGGTACAGAAGAGAGTGGCTGGTACTGATGACTTGTTGCAAAATGATTGGCTGCCTGCGTGCAGTTTTTAATGTAATAGTTCAAATGTACTGGATGCTTTGTGTGCGAGCTTTTTTCTGAAAGGCGCGGGAAGATGCTCCATAAAAAGCCCCCTTTGAAGGGGCCCGGGGCTCTCAGCTGCTGACGGTTTGCTGTCATGCTGTGAGCCTGAGCATGCTCAAATAAACCTCTTGCTTTTGCATGGACTTGGTCTCTCGGAGTTTTCCTTGACAGGTGAGGCTGTCCTGAGCTCGGACCCTAACAGCAACAACAATGGCAAGAGACCTCAAAATAACTCGGGAGCAAATCAGAGTCTTAGGAGATGATTCCAAGAGGAACAACATTAGAATCATTGGAGTACCAGAAGCTCAGGGAAACAATCCCAGTGAAAAAGTCACGATTCAACAAATCATTGCTGAAAAGTTCCCAGAGTTTGACAATGCAGCCATTCAGATTCAAGGAGCCCAAAGGGTGCTAGCTAAAAGAGACCCTAACAAAAACACTCCAAGACATAACATAGTTAGAATGATCGATGCTGCCGATAGAGACACAATACTGCAAGCAGCAAGGTCAAAGAAGGAAATCACACACAAAGGAGCACACCTTAGCTTCACAGCAGACCTATCAGAGGAAACCCTGCAAGCCCAAAGGCAATGGTGGGATACAGTGAAAAAACTCACTGAAATGAATGCTTCACCAAGAATACTCTATCCGGCTAAACTCTCACTCAAAATCAAGGAATGGTACACTATTTTCTAGATAAACAGCAGCTCAGGAACTCAGGTAAGCACCAAAACAAATTCCGTCAGGACCCAAACATAAGCAACTGGATAAGGGTCCTGCTAGGATTAGGAAGGACCAACCTGTCCTGAGGAGTGTAGTCTGGGATCTATAGGAAATATCCCCAATAGAGCCACCCTATAAGCTTAATAGATCTCCTACTGTGACCCTTCAAAATGAACAGAAAGGTTAAGTAGTCAAGATTGTTTAAATGAATATGGACTAAGCAAAGGAAAATGAAATTCTACCCTTGAGCTGATCTCCTTGCAGGGAGAGATTTTTGTCCAAACAGAAGTTTCCACTGAGGGAAGGGCTTTACATCCATTGATTGTACAACCACAACTTTGTGTATTTGCTACCCCCACTCCTGGGGAAAGGGCTGGAGAAATAAAGGCTTTGGGAGAAGGGCGAAGAAAGGGAGTGAGAGGCAGTGGGAGACTCCTATAGATGCGGAGAATGGAACAAAGAGCAACTGATCACTGTGAGTTCACGAAGTAAAATGCGGGGGTGCTGTGAAGTGTTGGTGGTCCAGAGCCGCCTCCTCACTTCCCCAGGCTTTCCCAATAGAGAGAAAGACAGAGAGACGGGGAACCACAGACTGATGGTGAAAATGGCCCATTTAATGCCGAGCAGCTACCATACTTACAGAACATCTAAAGAGGGGGGTTGAGGTAAGGATATAGGTGTGATTGATCATTTACATAGATAAACATTTGGCAGAAGAAATTCTCTTGGGGAGATTCACTCTATCTCCCAGGGACATCTACACTGCTTTTACCTTTCCCTCTAGTTGTATACATTATCAATACATGCAGTTGTTTGGATAAACACAGTAAGAGACAAAGATCCCAACACTTAATTCTCTGGGCTCTGAGAGCAAGTAAGGTTTTTACCTTAAATCCCAGACTAAGTCCTCAGGCCAGTTCAGCTTGTCCTTCCCCATGGGGGTCCTGTCTCTTAAGCTGTAACAGTTTGCATCAAGACCATGCATTTCTGCTTTCTAGAATGTCCCATTTGGATGCCAGGGGAGTTTTGCCACTTGCTCTGGGTCCATCCCAGTCCCACGACAGGACCCCCCTCTTGGGGTATTAGGAACTACAGCAACTGAAGCCTAAGTCAAGTAACTATGGCCAAGCAATTATGCCCAGGAGTAGACGTATTTCAGTCAATCAACTCCCAAAACCTTGGATTGATGGTCTTTCTGTGTTGAACCGAAGAACACTGATCTAAAGTAAAATATAAAACGGCTACAGGGGAAATAGAAAAGCAGGTACAAATACACAGCACTTCAACTACTAAGCAGTACAAATACAAAGTTGAGAATTACCAGAAAGTTATGGCTTATCAGTAATCAAGAGTGACATGGGGAACTGGGACAATGAGAGGTAAAATACAAAGAAAATGTTAAAGATAAACTTGAACTAAATTAGGGATATTAGCAAGGACACGATAAGCTTCTCTGGGAGAGGAAAACTGGCATTTCACCGATGAAGCCTAAAACACTTTGGGTTAAAATCTAACAGATCACAACAGCCTGGCCCTGTTCATCCTCTGTCACCCTTCATCGGCCAGGGTGGGGAGATGAATCATGGCCATCAAATGTACTCTGCGCATCCTACATTACTTGAACACAACTCTCAGTACCTCAGCATAACAGTCGGGGGAAGCCTGATTAGGGAGAGATGAAGAGTCGGGGTGCATCCCAACTTGATTTTAGAGTACAGAAATTCTACATATTAGAAAAAATTTAAAGTTAGAGAGGCAGACACCTGGGAGGAGCACTTCCCTTGCTGACCAAAATCAATCCTCGGCATCTCATATGACCCCTAAAGCACTGTATCACTGTCATCCTGTTGTTCATCCATTTGCTCTAGCGGGTGCCAGTAATGTCTCCATTGGTCCCAGCCTTGAGATCTTAGCAGCCTTTCCTTACTCATCCTTCCCAACGGTGCCATATTGGAGGCTCTTTCAGGGTCAGGGGAATGAGACTCATTATTGATACTGCTTTCAGCATATCGAATATGCCACGGGGAGCTTGCCAGGCTCTGTCGTAGAGGAAGGATACTCTCGGTAGCTTGCCGGGTTCTCCGAGAGGGATGGAGTATGTACATTTTACTTATATTAAACATTTTAAATATATCATTTTACTTATATCAAATATATAAATGTATTAATCTGGTCTTCTGTGTGAAATCTGATCCCTGGGTCTCTGGTGGTTGGTGGAAGCAGACAGGGCAGGGTAGGGTGGGACAACTGATTATAATCCCTTTGTCACCTGTGGTTGGTGGAAGCAAGCAGAGAATCTCTGTCCCTGGGTCCATTGAGCCTGGAGTTCAAGGTTCAGAGGGTTCCGCTTATCTTGTTCTGTGGGTCTTCAGTCGTGCGTGAGTCTCGACAGGAGCTGCCACGTGGGTCCGGAAAGCGACCTGGAGTGTGGCGGCGGCTGGGTAGTGGACGTAGTGTCGGTGATCTTGACCTTCTACAAGATCATTGTGGGTGATTTTAATGCCAAGATAGGACTGAGAAGATCAGCTGAAGAACTTCACATCGGGACCCATGGCCTTGAATGGAACGAACAGGGTGAGAGACTGTCTGAGTTCATCATGTCGACCAAGACCATCCATGGTAACTCACAGTTCCAGAAGGCCGAATCTAAATGTTGGACATGGGAGTCTCCCTGTGGACGATTCCACAACGAAATAGACCACATCATATTCAATCGACGGTTTTGCCTGACCGATGTCGCTGTTGTCCCAAAATTCCGAACGGGATCGGACCACCGTCTCCTTGGT